GCCCAGAATCATTGAATATAAAATTGGACTCGTTACATGACTCAAATTCATCACCCCATTAATCCAACCCTTCAACCCAATCCCCTTATGGCAATAAATCCCATCCATCCACACCATCCATTCTACCTATTCGTGACCACTTTACCCCACCCACCACTCCAGCCTCACTCTTGCGAACCAGGGTGAATTATAACATAACAGGGGGCTGGAGTAGGGTCATCTAAGGGATGGTGGGTGGGATTAACTGCGATCTCAATCATGACTATGCATCCACGGGGAACTACCTGACCCTCGAGCAGAAGGCCCCTGGCGTGGGAGCTTAGCTGACTGGGAGATGGGGCAGAGATAACGGTGGGAACGTACCTAGCCGTGATCACACCACGACATCCAGCACAGCGGAGCACCCCACTGCATTGAATATCAGGGCGCCCAATCAAGAAACCCATCGCTCTACAGGCCCCAGTGATGACCTGCCGTAGGTGCCAGTCAGCAGATGAGGCAACATAGCCTGAACAGGAAAACTCACCCCCCATGAAAGGGAATCAGGACGGAAGAGAAATCCAAACATAATGTGAAGCAACAGTTAAGCAGAAAAGGAGGAAATTGCAGAGGGCAAGTTGTGACAAGCACACCCGTCTGGAATGCTCAGGTTTTTAAAACTTTTTTTGCCATGGCCGGCCGCCATGACTAGCCTCCGCTTTGTGGCCCCACATAAGCACACCATTCATTCACCAAAATAACAAGCAAGATGATACGATATAGGTGGAAACCAATAGCACCACCTTCTCTTTCCGAATATCAGCTCAGAATGGATGCACCAGCAAAGGGGCAAGCACATAGCTCAGCATTAATCAATGGATCCTCTCAACCAATGCTTCATTTCATCTCCCGTTTTGTTTTCCCTGTCGCCACTTCACCTCCAATCCTTGTCATTGTCTTGAATATGGTCATTGTTTCATCATCACATTTGTTTTGCACAAAAATTTTCTTTTTCTCATCATTATCCATATTACTTCCCCACTAGTACACTCCTTATTTTTACGGATTTTGTTTTGTTTTTCTTTGTATAGGCAAGCCTGCAAGCGGACTTGGGAGGGCGAGTGTAGCGCCCGAGGCCGTCTGCCGGGCGGAGTTGACACCGACCAGCCTTAAGCTCCGACAGCCCCTGTATCGCTTAGCTAGTCTTACTCAAATCCACCACATTTGCCAGCTAAGGCTCACCGTTGCACTGTGCAGTACTCGCCACCGGAGTTACCAGCGCGACAAAGAGCATCTTTGTCCGATTTATGCTTGTGGGTATCTTGGTACTCATGGTTATAATGATCGACGGTGGCTCGAGGAGCAACCGGAGCAGCCATAGCCATCATCACGGTGGCAATAAGGAAAGCCATGATGAGCAAGATTGACAACCGCATATTTATACCTATGAGGTATAGAGAGCGATCGTATTGTTCGAAGAAGAAACCGGCGAGATTAGACCTTGTTGTCACTTGACAGCAGGGATGAAAGAACACCAGAGAGGCACCAGGCCCAAAGAGAAGAATGAAAAAAGGTAGGTGATCCGAAGGAGTGAATATGGATGAGAAACACCTGTGGGATCCAGAGTGGGCTGCTTTTATCCTCTTTCTTTTTCGTGGACAGTCAGATAGCCTAACCCGGAGTCACACTGCCTATAAACCGACGTGTCCGATACTTCTTTCCGGAAGTAATTCATGGGATCCTTCCACCTGGGAAACTACAAAGATCCCCCTTTGACGGTCAAGCCACATCTCCTTTCGGCATTCCATCGTCGTAACGAACTCTAGAGAACAGTATGCGTGTGACTTATCGAGGCTGGATATCACAACCGCTGTCGAATCACCCTGAATGACCGAGTTGTGGCGGAACGCACCGCAGCCAGGGAGGCGACTGAATGTGGAAGCTTGTGGGGGTGCTGGCTGGGGCGTAGAGTTGTCTTCCTCGAAGAACGCATACTGAAGGCAATGATAAGAAGATATTAATTCAAGCGTTTTGCTCGTATTTAATGATCAGGATGGTGTGAATCGACCCTGTTTCATTTTCTCTTACCGATGGCTACAGGGCAGTGGCAAGTTCCACGCAGCCTCATGCAAAATAGACTTGAAGAGGGTATGGTTATTTTGTTATACAGTTGAATATGGTTATTTACAGCCCATTGGGCAAAGCATAGTACAAAAGAGATCCAGCAAACTTCATTTCTGGTAATCGAAGGCGTTCCTAGGAATCTCCCATTCCCTCAATGATCCCCTGTAATTTTGAAAGGAGATCAGATGGTGTAGTAGACATCTCCGGTGTAGCATATTGATGACGGAATAGTTCTATCGCAGGACAGATGCCACGCTCCTCACACAGGGTCCCTTCGGCCACGGTCGACTATAGGCCGACCTCCCTCCTGAAAGGAGGGGTCCCGAAGGGACCGCTGCCGGCGATTGCTACCTGCTCAACGCTGCCCAAACAATTGCCCAAACAACCTATTGTAAACCACCTCGCTTTGTACATGCTATTCTTGCTACTTTAATACCCCGCATGAATACGACTATCCATAGAATCATAACCGGGTATTTTGGAGACTCGGGGGCCATGACGAGTGATGCTAAAGAGAGTAAACGACAAGGAGAATGACAAAGCCAAAGTTTGGCAAAGGGTGCCAAATAAGAAACGCCGGCAGCGTGGACAGATGCGTGGAATAAAGCGACTCGAGATTGCCAACTCTTGATATTGTTTGCATAGTGTCCGTAAATGATCCTGTTTCTTGTCGATATCCTCCCCCACCTGTAGCAGATCTTGTTCGAGGACATTCTTGAACCTTTCCTTCCTC